GGGTCGGTTCGATCGGGGAAGGACCACGCTCTCACGTAATACGACCGTAAAATAGGAGCTTAATACGTGTTTCGTGTGGCGAGTGTAAAGATCCGAAGACCGTTTTTTACCGGAAACGAGGCATTCCATTGTAGTCCTCAGGGGTGACAACGCATCTACGTTTTGATCCTTAATCGAGGATAAATGTAGATTTCTATGGGCCACAGCATCCCCTTACTATCAGGTGGACTGTGTGCTCGTTTTTCACCCATATTCTATAAAAAAAGACTTCAGTGGCGTAAGACCTTCCTTGCTCCCTAAATCACAGTTGCCGCTGCCGTGTGTTTAGTACAATTGTGTCAATTTCAATCTGTTCGTTGGTGACTTTGGCGCGGAGCACACGTGTGAATACAAGTCACAGTGGATACCAAGTAAGAGTGCGAAATTTGGACAAAAGAAGGCAGTGGCGAAGCTAGGGCTCCGAACTAGGGCAAGCCCAAGATATGGTTTTGTTGTTTTTAGCAGTTTTATAAAAATACACCAATCATGATCTGTCTCTACTCTTCAGTTTCATATTCAGTTCTGTCGAGGACGTGTTTAACAAAGCACACAGAAGGCATACTACTACTAGATAGATTGTATGACATATTAGCAATTGTATACATTTTTGAAAAAAGCTGTTTGGTTTCGTTTGAGCAAAAGAAAAAGATATACATACAATTCAATACATGAAGAAAGTACAAAATTAAAAAAAAATTATTTATTATCTAAATCGAAACGTCTCTCTTTCTTAAAAAAAGATTTGATTACGTCCGCGTAAAATGTTGGTAAACGCTTTAATTGTACCAATAACTTTTTTTCAATTGGGATAACTCGCAACAAAGTTTAAAGATTTTACCTTTTCTTCGCCGATAAGCACTTTAAGACACTTCAATTCATCACAAGGTACACTATTGTTACGAGCTTAGGGTTCGTGACAATAAAAACTGCCGATTGAATTAACACTTTATTTACTAAACACCAATTAAAACTTAAATCACACTAATAATTAATCACGCTCAACACTTTAGTTCTTCCACTGAAACATCCAGAATATTCCAGTAAATAAGGGCGCCGACCGACCAGTCGTAGAAGGTTCGAGTGTGGGGCCTTCTAGAAAGCTTAGTTCTCCTGTTCGATACTAGATGGCGCTGTTGGTAAAAAGTTCAGGAATGGCATTTTCTAGAAAGCCCTCCTCGCTCTGTTCCCCGACACTAGATGGTGCTAGTGCCAGGAACCAGACGTTAACTTAGGCGCGCAACACTCCTAAGACAAGCTCGTCCCGAGCCCGAGCATTATCGGCCCCATAATAACGCGCCAGTCGATCTACATGGACGATCTTCGAAGATTCACCTTTCCCCACAGCCGTAGCACCTTGGGCTGTAATTTTTATTGTGGTCGCGAACCGTAATTGTTCAACCTCCCTAACGTGAGGGTAACGATGATCCTGCCGCCACCAGGCAGTGCCGTTAGCTACATACCCTCTCGAGATCGATCAACTTCGCTTTCTACAGTTCGCTTAGGGCAGCTGGTTCGAAGATGACCCCTTTCCCCACAGCCATAGCACCTAGGGATGTATCCATTATTGCAGTCGCGAACTGTAAGCTGCTGCAACCTCCCTGACGCGATGGGAACGAAGAAGAGTAAAAGTGTTGCGATTTTGTGAATTAAGTGTCCGCGCGTGTGAAATATTAGAGAAAACGACGAAACAAGTGCTTTGATGTCGATATAAACCTCAAGTTATTTTGGTCGCTAGGTCGCCTTATGAACTTGAGTGGCTGTCGTCATCAACTGTCCGCTGGGTTGAGCTGTCTACAAAATCTCCCAAGGGCTTCGCAATGTGACGTATCACCATATTGTGAAGAAAAAAGAATATAAAAATAAAGATTCCGAAAGAAATGATAGGCTCAGAAGGACTAGAACCCAGAGCCGTAAAGCCATATAATAAAATAAACGACGCACTGAAAAAATCAGTGGTATGAAGTGGATCGCTTGTTTCACTTTCATGTAGTCATGTCGATTCACTCTTAAAAAAATCGATCTCTGAATCGATTTGAATCGAAGGTACTTGAATCGATTATCGATTATATCGAGGATTAAAAGATCGATTTTCGATTAATCGCGACATTTTCAAACATGAAATTTCAAGAAATTTCTATTTTTTTTCTTTAACTTCTATAAGATTACTAATATTTTTTAAAATAAAATATTAGTAATCTTATTGATTAACATTACTAATATTCCTTTTAACAACTCCTGGTAAGCTTGAAACGCTTGTGTTAGGAGTGGTTCGCACATACTCCACTCGATCCCTTTTTTTACAAAGTGATTCCACGTAACACTTTTATTTGACATTTTAGGCTAAAAACAACAACAATACTTTAACAAAAGTGCAAACTGCATGATTTCTCGATAAATCTATTTTAATCTAATAACTCACTATTTATCATATTGAAATTAATGCTACACGAACACAATACTGGTTATTTCCTTACTATAAACCTCTATAAACTTCAACGTACGGTATAATATTTATTTACAGTATCTAGGTATTTAAAAAGTACTCTGTCTGTACTTACAGCTCACAGTATGTACATTTTTGATAAGAAATAATGTACATTCCCAAGTTCACAGTTGAAACAGGTTTACAGCTATAATATTATATTATATTATAGTACAGGAGGTGAAATATAATATGAAAATATCGCTCGGTCGATCGAAAAAATATTTATAGTTTGGGGTGTAATATAAATTACATTATATCCCTTAGTGTGGGCTTAAGAATTTTAGAAATGTAAATGAAATGACAACTTTTCGATATTGTTGGATGCGTTCATAAACATTTATTTTATTCAAATATATATTGCGTTCAAATTATCAACCAAGTACGAGAGGTTGTTTCCCAACAGCAAAAAATTAAAAAACTGTGGTATCTTACCCCAGCTAGTTTGGGAATTTTAGCTAGTTCTTGAATCAAATAAATCAGTCCTATTCAAGAGGTTTTTGGATCGATTCAGTGAATCGATGCGGTGCTTCGAATCGATCTAAAAAATCGATAATTTTACTCCCAAAGAATCGATTTTCCGATTAATCGATTTTAGATCGACATGCCTACTTTCATGGAGTTTTGGCGGGAACTTGGCCGTAGACGGATTGTCGCTCCTGTTTTGTCGCTTGAATAATGGTTTGAAGTGGATTTTGATTCGTAAAAGTGATGCGATTTTGTGAATTAAGTGTCCGCGCGTGTGAACTATTAGAGAAAACGACGAAACAAGTGCTTTGATGTCGATATAAACCTCAAGTTATTTTGATCGCTTGGGCGCCTCATGAACTTGAGTGGCTGTCGTCATCAACTATCCGCTAGGTTGAGCTGTCGTCAAAATCTCCCAAGGGCTTCGCAATGTGACGCATCAGCATATTGTGAAGAAAAAAAACATAAAATGATTCCCAAAAAAAAGGATAGGCTCAGAAGGTCTATAAACCAGAGCCGTAAAGCCAGTTAATAAAGAAGAAAGAAAGGCTTGTTTTATTTAGTTGAAATTCCATTACAATTTATTGCTTACGCTAGTTATGAACTGAAATGTATTTTAATGATAGAATAATGTAATCCTCGACATGTTTTCAACTTTTAAAGTTAAAATTGTGTTTATTTGATTTATTTATCAACATATTAGGTAAACTGTTTAAAGTTTATCTGTAAGTCTTAGTGTTGAGTAAGAATTAGTCACAAAATGGAAGTTATAGATGAAACACCTGAATTAAATGCATCTATTGATCAAGTAAAAAAACAATGTTGTCGTAGAAGAAACTGTAGAGTGCATAGCAGCGGATGTGCGTCACAAAAAGAACAGTGTCGTCGATATTTGTAAAGCTGGACAGGCTAAAGAAGACAATGTTATAACAGAAATGGTAATTACACAAGAAAGCGTCGAATTGATCTAGAAGAAAGTAATGAAGTAACTGTTGAAACAAATGAGACAGAAACGTCCCAGAAAATAGCGGCTCTCCAAGGTCCTGACACAGTAGATATAGATGAAAACATTTCTAGCCAATCTGATCATAATACGGAAAAAAGAATGGATCAAACAAATGAACTGAATACGGAAATCATAGTCAAAAACTTGGATAAAAAAATCTACTATGAATTGAAATTCAGTCAACTGAATCTGTTATAAAAGTTTCTATTACAGAAACATCATCAGTTGAAGTTAATAGAGAAGAAACATCGGTATTACAATTAAGTAAAGAAATATTAGCAGTTCAAGTAAATCATACAAATTCATCCAATAAAGATAAAGTCAGGTTTAAGACTGAAATACTAGTTGAAAAAAAATTATCATGATATTAATGAAAATGACTTAAATGAGACAAACTCTGATGAATATGCTACTAATAATATTTTGAGTGAATTGGGGCAAAGTATAGAACTAAGTGAAGCCTTAAGATCATCTGATGTCAATGATCATGTGGAAAGTAACAATTGTACTGGGCAGCAAGAAGTCTTTAACTAAGAGGAACTGCTAGATATTTTGCAAGGAAAAGATGTTGAATCTTCTGACAAAGAAGTAGTTGAATATATGGAAATGAATACTGTTATTTCTAAATTTTTAGAAGCAAAGTTAGCTTTACAACAACTCACACAACTGAAAAATAGTAAAAAGAGAATTGAAAAGAAAGTAGAATCTGATAGCATTATTAATGTTTTAGTAAAGGATTGGGATGATGAAGAAACTTCAGAAATAGAGAAGTCTGCTAAATTGCTTAACCCTCTATTGCATGAATTATTAAATTAAAAAGAAAAAAAATATTTTTATGTTTCAATGTGTTTTAATAGGGCTTGTAAGACAAAATATAAAGTGAAAAAAAAATAAGTATCTTATTTTAGAAAAAAAAAAACAGAAGCCAAAATTGGCTTCCCATGCAATAACGTCTGTGTATGAGACTGCCATTTTTGGCTTCCTATGCACAACAAATACCAAAACTTACACAAGGTGAAATTCTCTAAAACAGTTTCTTTTCTCATTCAAGCAAAGAAAAACGTCACATTTCTCACATTTTATATGAGAACGCAAAGAACAATCATTCTGACATAATTGACGATTCTTTTGGTGTATCGGGAAATGGTCAATTTTGTCTGTACGTACTGAATTTAGAGGTAGGTCTTGCACTTTTGCTGGGGTTTTCCGTGCCCTTTTTCGAGGTGTGAAAGATTCATTTCTACTGGTAGGAGTACCCGTTCTAGAAGACGTAGGAGTATTTCCTCTTGACAAGGTAGGTGTACCGGGATTACTGATACTAGGACGGCCTCTTTTTCTTGAGATACTTTTGCCAGCCTTGCAATAATGTTCAGAAATGGCTAGCTTGAAGTCAAATAGTGACATGTATTGGTCAGTCTTGCGTCGCCACAGTAACCAAGCATTAACTGCACACATATCAACCAAGTGGAAAAATATTTTTTTATACCACTGACGAGATCTTATTTTGATCCTATACAGACCTAACAAAGAGTCAAGCAAATCAACGCCTCCCATGTGTCGGTTATACACATCAACGCATTGTGGCGATGTTATGTCCTTGTACTGTTTATCTTTTCTGAAATATCTAGTCTTAGTAGAAGTCGGTTCACTACCAACAAACGCAGACAGTAAATTGACCACTTTATTGTCATACCATGATACCAGGCTTAGTTTTACGTCATCGACGATGGCGATTTTCTCAACCATAGTACCACGACCTATTTTCTTCAGGTCCTTTTCTGTAGGCATATCAGCGTTAGGTACTCTGTTCATCCTAATGGTTCCCAATGGCAGCAATCCATTTTTATACAGGTAAACTTGCAATTTTATACTATTGAACCAGTTATCGAAAAATATTTTGTGGTTTACATTTCGAGGCACAGTAGATGTGAGTCGTGTAACAACGTTGGAGCTGACACCAAGATCTGGTGCATCACTTGGAAAAATGTTGCTTTGATCGCCAGCAAAAATATCGAAGTCGTAACTGAACCCTGATACGCCACTCAACACTTGATTTTTGTACCCCCACTAATGAGGTTTGCCTGGATTGTACTGTTTGAGTTGGTGGCGAGCTTTCGTGGGTATAATTTGCTCATCTACGGCCAGATATTCTTCTTTGGGTATCAAAAGTAACCGCTCTCTTAATTTTTCTATGAGAGGTCGAATTTTAAACAGTTTATCGTGACTTTGTGTACCGGGTGGTTTGAAATCTTCATTATTATTGAAATGAAGATGACGTTTTATCATTTCAAACTTATTACATGTCATTATTGAATTGACTTGATGCTGACCAATGTTGTTGGACCAATACATCCGTGTAGATGGCAGGTGAACTAATGAGGTGAAGATGACAATACCTATAAATTGCTCAATCTCAGTAGTTGTGATATTTGCTGGCTTGTTAACACTGACCTGAGTAGATTTCAGATTTGACTGTTCCGTAATAAATGTTATCAAATCTTCTGTGAAAAAAAATTGGAAAAATTCGGCAGGTGATTCTAATTCTTGAGCAAACTCTGGCAATTCCAGGCTACCACTAAAATTGAAATTATTTTCATCATACGCTGGCATTTTTCCTTCAGTCCAGATAATTTTTTCCTTAACTGCTCGCTTCTGTTTCAAATTTTTAGGTCTAGGATCAACTATTTCGTCATCGGAAGTATCGGAATCGGATGGTAGAATAATTATAGGTTTTTTACGTGTTTGGTTGCGCAAGCGCGAAAGCGGAACATCGTCATCGGAATCAGATAGTGAATCATCGTTGCTAAGAGAGCCATCACCAGGAATAGGTTTAATGCAGTTAGCAGTGCCATAAAAGCGTGAAGGAAGCATTCTGGAAAGATAAAAAAAACTCTGAATGCATGCGAAGCCATTTTAGGCGCAAACATACTTCATCGTAAATGCATGCGAAGCCAAAATTGGCTCCTGTAGAAAATATTGAAAATGAAGTATAAGGAGCAAATATTTTGAATAAACTGTGATAGGGGTCAAAAACAGAGGTTTTGCACAACATTATTTACATTTTTAACATCAATTTTCTTACCTTTTCTATTTAATTTCCACCAACAAAGCTGCAATAAATTCACTAAGAACGACGTCGCGTACGCACCGGAGAAAAGTGAGGTTGTAATGACACATGACGTTGGCCATAGATAATAAAAATTACGTTTCGGTTCAGTTTGAATTACTACATACTACATTGACATTTTATAATTTTGTTTAAAATTAGGGTAGAAATAAATTACTAAAGTTGAGCAGCCAAAATTGGCTTTGTATGCAATAGAGGGTTAAAGAGACAGACTTCCTTTTAAAGACCTCTGATGAACTTAAAAAAATCCAAATAGCAGTAACAGCTTAGGAAGAATTTATAAGAACTTCCATTGATTCTGCGACAAGTGAAGATCACAGCCAAAAAGCTAATAAGAGTGGAGATGAACCACAAAGAAGACTAGGGAGAATCATTGAGAAAAAAGTAATTTTTGATCCAGATAATCCTGACACATTTACAAAAAGTAAAGCTATAATAAGGAAATAAACACTGAAAAAGAGTCTCCACTATATAAGAAAGGAAAGACTGATTTAACTATAGTGAGATCGAAGTCAAAGTCTCCTATATCTAAGTTGCAATGGAAGAAGCCATCACCAAAAAATGTAAAGCAAATTAAAAGGTTATCAGAGGTTGATAGGCTTCTGATGGATGAAGGTGCTGTGAATATGATATATCAGCTAACTCCCGAAGCTCCAAAGGGTAAGAAGAATGTAAGAACCAAAGCAGAATTTATTGAAAAGATTCAAAGCTCTACTACTGAAAGAAAAATGGAGAAAAAGAACAAAGAAATGGAGTTTCGGGAACGAAAGAAGGATTCATCTAAATATGAAGATGGAGAGGCAAAAAAGATTTTAAGTGGAAAGCACAGAGCATCTTTAAGCAGTTCTGTAAAGTCTCCATCTGTTTGTGAGGATTTTGAGACTTGTAGTGCAGATGATTCAATTATATATCGACGACATTCATCTAGTTCCTATTCCAGCACTTGTATGAGTCCTAGGCGGCTTAGTGATGTAGATTCAGGTGGCACACAAAACACTGCAAGGACTTCACTAATAGTAGAAAAGGGAAACAAAACTTCAGATGATAATAAAACACAAACATCAGACACATTTATGGCCGATCCTATAAATATAACTAACAGTGAAATTATTAATAGGGATGATTGCTTAACTATTAAGGAAAAGCTTAACTCAAAATTATCCCTTGCCTTAAATAAACGATAACGAGAAAACAGCAAAAATGATAAGCCACCAAGGCAAAAGAAGGTCAAAGAATCATTCGCATCAAAAAAAAGATGTTGATATAAATTTTAAGTATTTAACAATAAATATTGATCAAAGATTAGCTGAAATCACTATTCAGAAATAACCTAGATATAACATTGAGGTTTGTTTGAATATTATCCTTCACTAGTGTAAGTGAAATAATGTTAGTTTTAGTAAACCTATTATAAGCAAAAATACTCCTGAGAACATAATGTATAAAATAAACAAGGTATATTATAGAATGTGGAAGGATGTGGGTTTCATGTGATGGGAATATATCAAATTTTGCTCCAAATATTAGCCTTACCTACATTAGAGCAGTCTCTGCTTAGTAATAAACATAACTATTGGAACCAACTAATGGTGGAAAAAATATTCAGAATTTTAGGGATATTTTGATTTAACACATTTCTCTTCTGCAAACTTTCTGTCCAGCATTTTGCAAGTAATTAAGCAAATCCGCCAATAAAAGTGTCAATTGACACTTTCAGAAAGGCCTACAACTAATAATCGAAAACAGAGAGGGTCTGGGATTTTTTTAAATGTCTGAACTAGCATGATTAGTTCAAATCTTAGAGACTGTTCAAAGACATAAATTGTTAGATTTTTAAACTTGTTTAAACCAAGTTTTTTAACATCATGCTGAGCTATCCTCAAACTTCAAAATAAAACTGCCAAGATAACAAAACTCTTATGTGGTAGAACCAAGCTGCAGCTATATTATGGTTCCAGCACTAATGTGTCGGCTCGATCGGGGTAGGACCATGCTCTCAAAGAACAGCAGTGTAAAATAGCAGCTTATTGCTGCTGTGTTTCGTATAGTGAGTATAGAGAACTGGAGAGCCTTTTTTGTACACATGTTATAATATTAAATAAGTCAAAAAAAATTAAATTGTTTATTATTATAAAATGTATTACTACTTGATAATTGATACATTTCTAAATAATTTGTAATATAGTATTTTATATAATAATAGTTACAAAAATTGTATTTATAGGTTCTTAAGGAATTTGAACAAGCCTAATATATGTTGATGGAAGAAAAGACATATCAGTAACATTGGTTACATCCCAATGTGGCATGTTGTGCTCGTCATTATACTTCAGATCACTATTGGAAGATGATGAGAGAAAGAGGGCTACAAAGGCATTTGAAATTGCTGATTCAGTAAGGTATATCTATATCAGTTTTTGTAATTATTTTATTACAACTTGGCCTAAACAATTAGGCACATGACAGGAATGCGGTTTCAGTGCTTGCACTCTGCCTTTTTCTCCCCGCACTTCCTCTAGTGACCAATCACCATTCCGATGTTCCCTCTCTAGCTGTCATGGACCTAACAACAAATATTTGGTGTTTTTGGATGACTGATTGGATTTTGGTAAGAAAAAACATGTTGATGTCCTATGAAATGAAAAATAAAGAGTTTGTATTTTTCATGTTGTCATCATGAGTCTGTTTACAACTCAGTGCTTGTCGATGAGAACTTGGTTTAGAAGAATTTCTTGTATCTAATATTTATACAATAAACAAATGATGATCCCAATGCCTTGCTCCATAGACATTAATCAGGATATAAACTCTCTGTAATAAATTTGCCATCTGCTTAATTGATTCTACAAGATTTACCTAGTAAGTCAACATCATATAACTAGACTTTTACATGATGCTGCCAAGCTGCAGCTGTACCATAACGTTGCAGCAGAAATGCGTTGGCTCGTGTGGGATAGGACCATGGTCTCAAAGAATAGGATTTGTTAATTTTAATTACTTATTTATCTAGCAATTCTTACTTACTTACTTACTTATCTTCACGCACAATCCCTAACGGGTTAGCCAGAGAGAACAGATCGCCAAGTGTCACGTTCCTTACATACCTCTTTCGCTTCTTTCAGGTTCATTAACTTCTTCATACATGCACGTCTAGGTATCCGAATACTCTTGACCTTCCCCTCTTCGAGCAATTTGCTCACATGGTCTTCGAAAGTTAGTCTCGGTCTACCTCGACACCTTTTAATATTTACTTTCGCTCTATATATTTTCTTCACCATTCGATCTTCACTCATTCGCTCAACGTGCCCAAACCATTGGAGTACGCCCCTATCATTTTTTGTGATAAGGTCATCTTGCGAATATTGCGAATCTCTTCGTTTCGCTTTCGATCGGCTATAGTAACGCCACACATTTTATGAAGATATCGCATCTCCACTGCATTCAACTTGCTTTTATGCTTCTTCTGGCATACCCAGGTTTCGCTGCCATATAACAAAGTCGGTACCAACATTGCGTTATGTATTGCAAGGCGTGCACTCTTCACCACGCCTTGCCTTTTTACTAATGCATTCAGGGTACCATTGACTTTGTTTCCGGCAGCGACACGCCTATCCACATCTAAATCACATCTTCCATCCCGGCTGAAAGCGCTCCCCAAGTATACAATTTCATTTACCTCTTCTAGACATTCCTGATTTACCCATATTTCACATTTCGTTCTCTTTTCGTCCTTTTCAAATACCAGAACCTTAGTTTTATTAGCATTCAAACGGAGACCTTTAATTTCACATTCCTCTTTCATACACGTGACTAATGCCTGCAGTTGTGCTTCTGATGTTGCAATAAGCACTGCATCATCAGCATACAGCAGACAATTTACTTTAATGTCACCCAATTTCACACCCAAACAGCTATTTTCAGCTTCTGTAAACAGCTGTCGAGATACAGTATGAACAGCCAGGAAGACATGACACAACCCTGTTTTACGCCCGCTTGGACGCTAAACATGGGTGACAGGTCATGCCCTACCCGCACACAGGCTTTACAGTCATAGTAAAGTGACTGCACAGCCCTTAACAATCGACCATCCACACCATATCCCGGCAACAGTTCCCACATTTTCTTCCTTATAACCTTATCAAATGCTTTCTCCAGATCCACAAAAGCACAGAAAATCCTCTGGTTAACACTCAGAAGCTTTTCTGTGATCATGCGGAGAGAAAACATTTGATCCGTGCATCCTCTTCCAGGTCTAAATCCGCATTGTGCCTCCCATAAGAATCTTTCCGATTTCTCTTGCATCCTACGTGTCAAAACCTTCAAGTAAACTTTACTTGCTAAACTGGTCAAGCTGATCGCCCGATAGCACCCACAGTCAAAATGTGAACCTTTACCTTTATATAAAGGCACAATGACCGCGGATCGCCAATCATCCGGGACATCTCCCGTCCGCCAGCACAAATTGCACAGCAGACGAAAGCTGTCCCAGACGCGAGACCCACCGTACTTGACCATTTCAGCAGTAACTCTGTCTATTCCCGCAGCCTTAACACATTTCAAACTTCGAATCGCACGTTCAATCTCTTTCATGCTGATGACCTCAGTGTCATCGAGGTCCGTTAGGTTAGGCGTGCCAGTCATGGCGTCACCCCCGGATCCTTCACTAAGATCATGACACGCATACATTCCTCTATAAAATTCACTCCATCGCTGCATGACGTCCGATTTTTCTGAGAGGACGTCATTGGTTCTCGAAAGCACTTTGTTCATTCTTAAGGCTGTCGCACCACTCCGGGACCCTCCAACCTCTTTCCAGAAGAGTTTGGAGTTTTCCTTAAAGATATGCGACAACCTCTCGTCCGCTTCTATTCTACACCTTTCACATACTTCCTCAATCAATGTTTTAGCATGAACTTTCTGCAGCTTGTATCTTTCTTTCATCTTCTCTCTCATATGCATATCGTTACTAGAGGCCAAGTAGTCTAACCATGCTTTTTTCTTCTTTTTTACAGCTTCTCTCACTTCATCATTCCACCATGCATCTCTTCTTTTACTACAACCCTTTTTGTCGTTCCACATACTTCTTCCGCTGCACTTACCATTCCATCCCTAAGGTTCTGCCATGTTCTCTCCACACATTCTTTCCTGCCATCGATGGTGTCAAGCTTTTCGGCTACCCTCGTGTGATATTTGTCCCTAGTATCCGCTTCCTGAAGCTTCCAGCTTCGGATGCGACAGACCGACTGTGGTTCTGTTACTGCCGTCCGGTAGCGCCAACCCGCGAACAAACCCCTAAATCTAGTAATTACTAGATAGTGATCCGTTCCCAGGTCAGCACCCCGGAACACTCGTGTATCCATCACCTGTTTTCGCAGTCGGTCATCCACCAGGAACAAATCAATCATACTTCTTTCATTCTTTCTTTCTCTAGTGTACATATGGATTTTCCTGTGATTAAACATAGTGTTTGTCACAAGAAGACCCTTTTCCTTGCATACAGCCAGTATAAGCTTGCCAACATCATTAACCCTTTTATCGCCAAACTTTCCAAGCACCGACTCGTATCCTGGTCGAGCGATACCTACCCATCCATTCAAATCACCACATACAACAGTTCTTTCGTTTCCCTTATCCAAATCTAGAACTTCTCTTACATTCTCCCAAAACTCCTCCAGCTCAGTCCTGGACGACGAAGCTACCGGCGCATAAACAGCCAAAAGGAATAACTTCGTTCGTTTTCGTTTAGGAATAAATCTAGAAATTCTGCGTTCTCCAACTGCAATTTCCTGGTTTCATAGTTATTTGTATGGGCGCTGGCAACGTATTCGTGTCCAAGATAGACTTTCTTCATGGCTTGATACTGTAGCTGGCGTTCCACAAGGTGGTGTCTTATATCCTCTTTTATTCGCTAACCAATTCATTGACCCATGAGTGAGTCATACCTATATAGACATTTCGATTGTTAAACTATTGTTTTTTTTTTTCGCAGCCAGGCAAATTATTGATTTAAGTTTTAATTCATTGTATTATTTTTATATCCTCTTAGAGTATACATTTGCAAGCTATGCTTGTGTATACTCTAAGTATGTACTCATAATGCTAGGGGGGTTATTTCCCCTCTATCAACTATTTACATGTCACGGGTGCTATATGCAAATTTATTTTAATTTAAGGTATTTTAGAT